TTTGGCAAAACTGATCCGATAGTATAGCATGTATAGATTAGAACTGGTGCTTGCTACGTAACAAGCATGGTGTTAATGATAATAGCTGACACTTACAGTGTGTGCTTTTGTACTTTTAATTTCTTAATGTTTCTCATAAAGTAGATAATCTTGTTTTACTCATTTCATACGTAAAGAAACAGACACTGAGAGGTTAAGTGACTTCACCTGAGTTATATAACTAGTAAGTAGTAGAAGCGGGATTTAGCCAAGACAGATTGTCTCTAGAATCCATGCTCTTACCTTCTGGGTCCATAAATGGTGATAATAACCCCTATCACTACAGATGGTGGTAGTCACTTTAATGAAAGCTTTGGCAGTACAAAAATAATATAGGAAATTATTTTTAATGATGTATTTAATCTTTGCATTTTATTGTATGTGAGGCAGTATGCTAATACTCTAACTATACAGTCACCCTTTTTAATAGCTGAATGTTGGTCCAGCTTTTCCATTCCTATTCTATAACTTAAACCCTTCTATTTTTTTTTAGAACTAATTAACCTTTAAATGAAGATTTTAAATAATCAAGTTTGTCATAAAACTATTAGTCAGTATTAAATCCCTAGAAACATTTGGGTATCATGAATTTATTACCTTTTGTGTTATGATTTATTATAATTTATCACCTTTAATATGTGTATTTTTACATGTCTTTTCTCTTTTCAAGAAATTTATTATTACTGGTAAAGGGCTCTTTAGGAGAACTCATATATTGATATACACATAAAATTAAGAGAACAAACCAAAAATTCAAGGCTGTTTAGCAAATGATGTGTATTGTAGAATGAGTGAGTATGTGTACAGGATAAGTTTTGAAAAAGATAATTATCTCTCATCACCTTTAAGTCCCCACTGTTTCAACTATCCTTATTATTCCTAATTTCACACTTGACTGCCAGCAATTCCAGCTACTGAGCTAATGGATTTGATTTACTCCTTCCACCATTCTCCCTCTACTGGAATACTGATGTACTTATGACAGGCTGTGAAGTATTTCACTAGAGGGAGCACCGTTAGAGAAAGGCCTGCCTATGATACCTCTTACACAGAATAGAGCCCTAGCTCTCTATGGAGAAGAAAGAAGGAAAAGGAGAGGTGTGGTCAGAGGGAAAAAAGAGAGAGAGAGAGAGAGAAAGGCTCAGCCAATTTTAGGAGGATATAAAGAAACCAAAGCTAACACACATTCCTAATTCAGGGGGTCTGAGTTTTCTTGTTACTCAAGTGACTTCAGTCATTTGGGATTGATAATGGAGAATCTCTGTTACCAACCCTGTAATTTGCACAGATAAGTATACTAAGGTTACTGGTTTTCAGTTTATTCAGATGTTGTACTAGGACTGATGGTTTGTTTTGTTTTTTTTTTTTTTGAGACAGAGCCTCAAGCTGTCCCCCTGGGTAGAGTGCCGTGGCATTACAGCTCACAGCAACCTCCAACTCCTGGGCTCAAGCGAGTCTCCTGCCTCCGCCTCCCAAGTAGCTGGGACCACAGGCGCCCGCCACAACGCCTGGCTATTTTTTGGTTGCAGCCGTCATTGTTGTTTGGCGGGTCCAGGCTGGGGATTCGAACCCGCCACCTTAGGTGTACGTGGCTGGCGCCTTAGCCGGTTGAGCTATAGGCGCCGAGCCTGTTTTTTTTTTAAACAAATAAAAAGGCTTTCCTGGAGTCTTAGATCTTAGAAAAGTTTTGGGTAATTTCAGCCTTTTTACATTAAGATTTAGAGACTAGAGATGGAAAGGTCAACTTTATTTGCACATTAGGATGCTTTTGGATAAAGCGTTTTGCATGTGAATCATCTGTGCAAAGAATCATTTTTTGTAAAGAGAGACCTTGTTGCCCTTGGCACCTACTGGGGACATCCCTAAATTTGGATAGTGAAGTAAGACTGTATTTTAAATACATCCTTGGAAGAGAAGAAATGTTCAGCATTTGGCAGCATTTTACCTCTGACAGCTGAGTTCTTAGGCCACATATGATCTAAGTGGTGGTGACAGCTTTTTCCATAAGAATATTTCAATGAATTAAATTTTTTCCCTACTTCTTACTCTTCTCATATCCTCAAGCAAAATTACTATTTTGTATTCACCCTGGTGACTAGTAAAGTGTAAGGTATGTGGTAGCCCATGAGGAACAGTTGATAAATTGAATATTCATTAATTAAACCTTAAACCTGAAAGTGGAATATTATCTAATTGTGCAAATAGTTAAGCTCCTCAGAATTACAAGATATCATCAGAAATACACTGGCAGAAGCACTGATTGATATCATACAAGCATACTACTATACTGAAGTGACTTATACTAAACAAATATAAGTTGTACTGGCCATTTATTTATTTATTTATTTTTTACTTTTTGGGGAATGTTTAGGTAAGAGGTCATTAATTTTTTTACTATGGCTTGGTAAGTAAAACTAAGAATTTGAGTTTCTGTTTGGTTTTTTATACCCTTTTCATTTTTTTTTTTTTCTTCTGGTATAGTTGGGTTCTTGCTCTTCCTCAGGCTGGTCTCAAACTCTGGAGCTCAAGTGATCCTCCTGCCTCAGCATCCCAGAGTGCTAGGATTATAGGTTTGAGCCATTGTTTGTAAAGTGTTCTTTGTATGAGAAATAACTTTTAAATTTGAATATCAGATGCAAATTTCTCAGCTTGCAGTTTTGACTTTCATTGGTGACACATTCCAACTATTAGGAAATCCAAAACAACAATGGATATCAGAATCTGCCATTTCTAGAAGGACCTAGGACTTTTTCTTGGCTTTAGCAGAAGAAAATTGGTTGGGGGTGCTGTGCCAAGAATTTTTTGTCATTTTCATATTCCTATACCCTCTTTAACTTGGTAGTAAATTTCCTAGATAAGGATTGAGCTGAATTGCTTAGTTTGATATGATATAGTATAGTATAGTGTTTATTTGTGAGATACCTAGGGCAATAGCTGGCACCTAGTAGGTATTCAATAATTGATAGCCACTATTAGTAATCATTTCTCTTAGTATTATAACTGCCATAATGCTAAAAGGATACTTAGTGTTTTTCATTTTAAGCCTTGTTATATTTCATTTACTAAACCAATTAAAACCTTTGAAAGAAAAAAAGAGGTAGCAAGTAGGAATCAGGATAGAAATTGAAGTCTTATAAATTGTTAGATTGATCCCCATTGGCTAGAAGTCATATTAGTGAGTTTTGAAGTATTCATCTATAAAAAGAGGGAAATCAAGCAAAAGAGGAAGTGAGACCCCACTTCATGTTTGCCATTCTTCCCCGTTTTTGTTCTTACTCTGAACTTGGAGGGATCCAAGCAGCTTTCTATATTCAGCAGACAAGCTCCCTTTGTCATCTACATGTCATCTACATGACCTTAAGCTTTATTTTTTTGAGACAGAGTCTCACTTTGTCACCCTCAGTAGAGAGCCATGATATCACAGCTCACAGCAACCTCAAACTCTTGGGCTCTGGCAATCCTTTTGCCTCAGCCTCCTGAGTAGCTGGGACTACAGGTGCCCACCACAATGCCAGGCTGTTTTTTTCTATTTTTAGTAGAACCAGGGTCTCACTTTTCTCAGGCTACTCTTAAACTCCTGAGCTTAAGTTCTACTGGCCTTGGTCTCCCAGAGTGCTAGGATTACAGGTGTGAACCACCACATAGGCCCTAAGCTTTTCATTCCAAAGTCAACTCCAAATTACATTAAAATTGAAATTTTTATTTATCTTAAATGTACAATTGCAAAATTCAGGTAATAAGTTGTGTCCTTTAGGAAAAGAGAGAGGTTAGATGATCTAATGTAATTATTTAATTTTTTTGGTGATTCAAAAGGAATAAAAAATTGAAAATCTGCACTGATGATATCCAAGCTATGTTAAGAGTTAGGAAGGAACCCTATTGTTGTCAAGAGAATTACAGGTTTTACTCATGCATTTTTCTCCCTGATACCCTAAGGAAGTTAAAGCTTTAGAAATGATTTTTAAAACTTAAATCCTTCCAATCATTTCTATCATTTTTTCTTATTTTGATAAGGACAAGAAAACACATAGTTTCACTTTTTAAATATGTTTCTATATTTTATTTATTTTTATGTTTTTAGAGACAGTTTTGCTCTGTCACCCAGGCTGGAGTGCAATGGCACAATCATAGCTCACTACAGCCTGGAACTCCTGACACAAGAGGTCCTCTTACCTCAGCCTCCTGAGAAGCCAGGACTGTGGACAAAAGACACCAGCTAAGTTTATTTTTTTTTATTTATTTATTTTTTGTAGAATCAGGATCTTGCTATGTTGGATAGACTGGTCTTAAACTCCTGGCCTTAAAGCATTCCTCCTGCCTTGGCCTCCTACAGTACTGGGATTACAGCCATGAGCCATCACACAGGGCCCATAGTTGCACTCTTTGTACTTCTTTGCATGCAATCCAGGAAATATTTTATACTCTTATTTCTAAATCTTTCTAAAATAATTTCCAAAGAAACCTTCTCTACCAGAGTTCTGTGTTATATTTGGGTTGCAGTAACATTTATTAATTTTTGCTCTTATTTAAACATTTTTTGTGTTTCTGCAAGTTGGACTTTGTTTCTTGGCCACCTCTGTCGCACCAGATTTTTGAGAATTAAAAAAAAAAAAAAGGATAAACCAGCCTCCTCCTCACCTAGTCAGAAAAAGGACCTGGAAACAAGTAGCTCTGACACATGTTGCAGGAGTGCTGATGTTACGCAGTGTGAAACATGATGATCAGAATTACTGTTTTTATTTTACCATCTTTAGCTTATCTAAGCCTATCTATCTCTGTGTGTCCATTCCATGTGTGTGTTAGAGAGGGCGCTGAATTTTATAGGCCAATGCTTAATTTAGTGAACAAAATCTGACCCAAACCAGCACGTTCTAAACATATTTTCTAGGAATATATTCCCCTAAACAAGTCCTGAGTTCTCACCCTGCCCAAGAAAAGACAACCATGAAGAGGGAAAGACTAAAAACTCGAGTTAAGAATGAATCAGATTTTAAAATGGCAAGGTATTTTCGAGGTGAGTGAATCACTTCCAGGAGCAATGAGAAGGGAAATACAGAAATTTGAGTGCCTCCAAAATACCTAAATGGATTAGAGAGATGGCCTCAGTCTGTTTCTCTCGCTTCTACTCTCTCACGCTGATTTCATGGTCTTTTCTTTCCTGGACAAGTCGCTCAAATCTACTGGGTGCACACTGTGACCTTCCAGTTGTGGGTATCAGGGGCACACAGTGGGCAACACTGCACGCGCACTGGACTTCTGGCTGACACCTGGGCGGCACTTCCACGCCTGCCGGTGGTTTCCTACGAGCCAGGCGTCCGGTCGGCGGCAGCGGCTTCTCATTCATGCTTTTGACAACTGCGCGGCTGCCTGCAAGCTGAAAGTGAAATGCCCCTCGCTGTATCTCCTCCAGCCCCGGGCCGCCCTAGGTGGGAGGGCCCCAGTGGCGACGACACTCGGTGGTGCCCTAGGGCCGTTGGTCGGGCTCCTCCATAGGTGGCTGCGTTTCCGACTTTGCCCTGGCTCCACTCCGGGGGCTTGACGTGCAAACTTCGCCGGAGCGAGCTGAGAGGGAGGGACCGGCGAGGGGGAGGAGGCGGCGGGAGGCGCCTCCGCTTAAGGGAGCCGGCGGAGCGCCGCCGCTCGGACGGACGCGCGGACGGAAGGAAGGAGCGGGGCCGCCGGGCCCGGCCCGGGGATGCGAGCGGCCGCAGGGTGGGCAGCCGGGGAGCCGGCGTTGTGGCTCCGGCCTCCCCGCCACGGGCTACCGCGGTGGAGCGCGGGGTTGGGGCTGGGGCTGGGGCTGCTTCTGGCGCCGGCCTCCACGCCGGGTCCTCCCGGCAGAGGCAGGCAGGGGACCCAGCGCCGCGGTGGCAGCCCGCCGGCGGGCCGTCCCCTCCCCGGAGGGGCCGCAGGAGTCGAAAGCGAAAGCAAGCCCGCGCCGCGGACTTTGCACCCGGGGCGGGGGTGGCCCGGTAGGAAGCGGGCTAGGGGAGCTGGGCGGCGGGGGGGCGCTGTCAGCGCGCCCCACCCGGTCCGCGGGCCGCGCACGCCGCCGGAACTCCCCGGCGCCTCCTTAAATGCGGCCCCCGCACGACTCTTTCCCCCCTTTTTTTTGTTACATTGTAGGAGCGGAAAGAATGTCGGAGCGGGCCGCGGATGACGTCAGGGGGGAGCCGCGCCGCGCGGCGGCGGCGGGCGGGGCGGCGGCGGCCCGGCAGCAGCAGCAGCAGCAGCAGCCTCCACAGCCCCAGCGGCAACTGCAGCCGCCGCCGCCGCCGCGGCGCCTACGGCCGGAGGACGGCGGCCCGGGCGCCGCCTCCCCCTCGGCCGCCGCAATGGCGACGGTCGGGGAGCGCAGGCCCCTGCCTAGTCCCGAAGCGATGCTGGGACAGTCGTGGAATCTGTGGGTCGAGGCTTCCAAAGTTCCTGGGAAGGACGGTGAGTATCCACGCCCTCCTCTTCGCTACGCCCCCAACTTCCCTCTTCCTCTTACCGTCTCTCCCCCCCCCCCACACACCGTTTACCCTGTCCAGTGACCCGCCCCCTTGGGGGTCAGAGATGCTATCGTTCGCTGGGTTGCGGAACGCGGAGGTGCCCACACCTACCCCGTGCGTGCGAGAGCGTGCGTCACACTCCCGGCCACTGACCTGCCTCTCCCCTCCTCCTGTGTGTGTATATCTCCTAGGGACGGAATTGGACGAAAGTTTCAAGGAGTTTGGGAAAAACCGCGAAGTCATGGGGCTCTGTCGGGAAGGTGAGTCCAGCCCCCCCGATGAAGTTTGTGCAACCCCCCCCCCCGAAAGTTTCCTTGCTGCTACACCAGAGCCTGCAACTTCAGCACGTCTAACCAAGCCCCTCCCCCACCACCACTCGAGGATGCTGCCTGAGATGGACGGAGGGGGGAGGGCAGAGAATTTGGAAAATCTGGTCTCCAGGGGTTTCCTGTAATTTACCCGGAGTGTCCAGGAACCTGTCAGTGGAGGTCAGGCGAGGTGCAGCATGAACAGGATTGCTTGGTGACAGTGCTGGAAACCAGCGGAGAGTTTAACCTGCATGCCTTGACTGACCCCTTACGGAGAAACACGAGTGGAGAAACTTCTTAGCTTTAAAGACATTTCCACGAATGCTGGAAATGAAAAGGAAACCTTTCCACTCAGAATTTTCTGTTGACAGTCATAGTGAATTTTGAACTTAGAGATACTTTCCTTACCTGTACAACCTTATTTCTGTGGGGTTTTTAAGTTAGAAGTTTTGGACGCTACAAAAGAATCATCACAACTGGGTAGAACAGTTGGTAAGATTTTTTTGTGAGCTACAAGTTGGGGATTGGGATGGGGGAAAGACAGAATTTTGTATGGTGAATCTTTTATTGCCTGTAGCTAGTGAAATCAGAGTCTTAATTATTGGTTGGCTTTACACTGTTTGGTAAAAGGATACTTTAGGGAAATATCTGTAGCTAAAAGTGTGCCTCCAAATGAAAGTCAGGCCAAGTATCTGGAAACTGTTAGACTTTTCCTTGAAATTTTCTTTTTCTTTGAATAGCCTTTGCTGTCTAATGCCTGCACCAGGTCTGAGGACACTACTCAGAGAGGACTTTTCAAGTTCAGTGAACTTTAGGTTTTGTTTCAAGTTACTCTTCTAGTGGTAGTAAAGACAAGACTTTGAGTGAGGTTTGGTACCCAACATCCCGAGTTTATTATTCCTCAGTGCAATTTTATTTCTCACCTGTAGCCATTTATTTTGGCCCAGTTTTTGTCCAGGGCCCAAGAATAGGTAGAACTTTGGCAACTGGGACATTTTTAAGTCCAGAGATGGCGCATTGTTACTGTCTTCACATTTCTTGTTTTTCACACCTGCCTTTTCTTCACTGATGCTCTTTTGGTTTTTTGAATGGGCCACTTGTTGGCCTCTTGGCACTGTGAGGAAGAATAATACCAGTGGCAGCTCTCTGAGAGCTTCCAACTGGAACAGATTATAGAGCAAATTGGTTGATTTCTTTCCTTTGCTGTTTGAGGGCAAAGGAAAGAGAGGGAAAGCGCAGGACTTGTTGGCGATGTTGTAATAGAAAAAATCAGTTGTTAGTCCGGTTTTAGTGTTGAATTGGCAGCCTGCCTGGGCTTAAAAAATTAAAATCACTAGGCAGCAACTCTCCTAGGAAGTAGTGGAGTAGAAGACCTGACCCACTCTTATTCTTAGTTTTCATTCTCTGGGTGTGGATACATTTCCATAAAGGGCTTCTAAATCTTTGTGAAAACAGAATGCTAATTATTGCTAACTCTGCTGTGAAGGATGAGTAAGTGTATTAGTGTTTCACTGAGTACCTTGTTCTGGACTGAAACCCAACCAAATTTAGTGGACTGGACTCAGTCTTACATTCTGTTCTTTTTGGGTATATTCATGAGCAGGTTTTCCATGAAGATCTGAGACGTGTTTACTATCTACATGAGGCACAAAGTGATCATGGATGTGGTTGCATGTGCTTCTGTCCTATCAAATTATTAGTGTTCATTAGAAGTGTCTTTTTTTTTTTTTTTTTAAAGAGCTCTAACTATTTAGGATGCTGTAGCTGCCAGGCCAGCTGCAACTCATGCTTGTCTATTTGAGCAAAGACTGAAGTTGTAATTTTATTTTTTTTTTTTTATTTTTATTTTTTTTTTTTTTTGAGACAGAGCCTCAAGCTGTCCCCCTGGGTAGAGTGCCATGGCATTACAGCTCATAGCAACCTCCAACTCCTGGGCTCAAGCGAGTCTCCTGCCTCTGCCTCCCAAGTAGCTGGGACCACAGGCGCCCGCTACAACGCCTGGCTATTTTTTGGTTGCAGCCATTATTGTTGTTTGGCGGGTCCGGGCTGGGGATTCGAACCCTCCACCTTAGATGTACGTGGCTGGCGCCTTAGCCGGTTGAGCTATAGGTGCCGAGCCGAAGTTGTAATTTTAAATTCAGTTAGCCCTTCATTTGTTTGTGACTTTGTGGATTTTCTGGGGCAATTTTAAAAGCTTTCAGCACTCAAGCAATGGACCTTTAATGTTGTTCTAACAGATAGTGCTTGTCAGGATGCTTCAGAAATGAAAATACATTTAATATTATCAGAATGTATTAGATCATTATTGTCTTTGGTTAAAGTTATCTACCATCAAGAAAAGGTGTTTTAGAGTTAAATGTATACTGATTCATCTTGTCAGTGAGATTAAATTGAGAAGTATGTAGAGAAATTGAGCATGTGAATAAAGCACTGAATGTCAGAATCTCTACGGGTATGCACCTGACTTCTTGAATTCTCCAGTTTGTAATTGTGGACACAGGGGTAAGAAAAACTAGATAGGAGAGAAAGTTGCCTAACCTTGCATTAGTCATTTTATCTTCTCAGTATACTTTCTCTCTTTGGAAAAGCAGATGATAATACTACCTACTTTCTAAGGTTATTGTAGGGGTTGAAATTAAATTAGGTAACGTGTAAAACAACTCAGTACACACTTAATTCCCTTCGATCCTTTCAGCTACTGGTAATTTAGGTCTGGCTTCCTAATTTGATATTTGTAGGTTAGGCTTTGGTTTAAGTTGTGACCTGCGAATAGGCTTCAAGGGGTCATGGTTTCCCAAAAATTATATGCAGAATAATTTTGTGGTATTTTGATTTTCTAGAGCAAATGTCCACAGCTTCTCTGGGATTCTCAGAAGGATTGTTTACTCATTCCTACCCCCAGAGTTCAAAATTGCTAAGCTATACTCTTTCTTTCCCTTTCTTTTTCTTTTTTCTCTTGTCACTAACTTTCACCAATTCCTTCATGGCAAAGACTGCCCTAGTGTTAATGCTGTCAAAGAAGATTGGAGGTATTGATTTAGATTGAAGGGAGATTATTTGTGATTTAGTTAATATACTATCCCTTTTCTTCCTTCTAGCATAGGTGGGAAAATATTATAAAATTTTACTTACCTTTCAGAGATTAGCCAAAATTCTCATAATTTTATTGCCTGTTTTTCCTGTAATTTGTAATATTAGTTGATAGCATTACTGATTTTGGTGGAAAGAGATTGACAGTACATTTTGATGTTTTTGAAATGATTAAACTCAGAAGACAAATTACCTTTTTTTCCCAAGGTGATTTGTGAAATTCTGGACTTTCACAGTTTTCACATACTCTGGATTTATGAGATTTTATAAAATTACATTCATATTTAATTAATTGGTATGAATAACCAATTAGGGTTTTTATATTAGTGCCTGAACATATAGGGAGACTTAAAAATGAAAACATTAAATCTCTTAATTTTACAGCAAATTTAAAAAATACTTCTGATGTCAATGTTGGAGTTAACAGTAGAATTGAAAAAATAACATTTTCTTTGGGACGCCATTGATAACTTTTTAAGTCCACTTGTATGGTATCAGAATATCCTGTACTTTTTCTTCCTCCACTCTACCTGTTACCGTTTGAAAGTGTGCATTATGTGAGGGTCCTTCTTTAGAACATAAGTTACCGAGGGCAGGGACATTGCTGATGAAGGCATATTCATATTCTGCTCCTATGCACCTTTGTGCTCAATAAATATTTGTCCCCAAAATGAATCAGATAGGCTACTGGGAAGATCAGAGTCAGTCTAGGTTGAATAATTCAGAAGACCTAGTCTCCATTCTATTGTGACTCTAAAAGGAGAAGGTACCTAGTGTATGTGCAGGTGTATAAAGCAGTATTTTATGGCCCTGCCTAGGGGATGCCAGAGGCTGCCTTTCAGCACTTCTGTTTCTCTGTCCTGAGTTTAGTACTCTATTTAGACTTTTCCAGAAAAGGTTCAGATAGAACACCACCTCTCTTTATCTCCTGATATTTAGGCAAGAGAGTAGACTGGTAACCCAGGATGATACCCACACTTAATGACAGGTGACTCCCCTGTCATAACAGGGACATAGTCGGGCCTGAGGCAAAATGAAATAGTGGTTAGTTGGCACCTACAAGCAACTAAGTTTCAAAAAAAAAGGACAGACTAGGGAGGTGGGTAGCCTCAGTCAACATAAATTGAGTCAACACAAAAATACCACTTTTTTCTTTCCTAGGGAAAATTGGTTCATAGTCAGTTAACAGCAAACAAATAGGTGTTTGTGTGACATATTCTGCCGTTAAGGGTACTACATCATAGGCATAAATCTTTCTCCCTGAAGTAGAGAATATATTTTTCTAATTTTCTCTAGGGTTTCTCTTATCTGTTTTTCTCTCCAAGTTTTGAAACATACAAAAGAAGAGAAAAATTTTTAATGAATCTCCTTGTATCCATCATACAGCTTCAACAACTAATGAGTCATAGCCCAAACTTGCTTCATCTCTGCCCTGCTCCCCACAGTGAATTATTTTGAAGAATGTTCCAGACATCATTATCATTTCTTTTGGTTTTCTTTTTTCTGCTTGCATGGACTTCAACTTGTTTCCTGCAAAATGGAGCCTTTATGTGTGTTATACCTTTCTTTTGAGGCAAGCCGGGTTACCATTTTTGATCCTTTCTGTGTGTAGGGTTCTGCAGGTGGCACTCTGCTTACATCTTAAGTGGTGATCTAAACCAAGCCTCAAACAGCAATCAGTGAGATCTAAGTTCCCTGCCTCAGAATCACCTGTGTGCTTGTGGAACATTAATGTACATTTTAAGTAGCACTCAGGTGATTTATTCATTTGCAGGTCAGCCTTACTTGAGAAACATCTCCACAGAGGAGCATCAGTGCTGCCCTGGGCAGTGTCCTTGCTAATACTTCCTCTGTGTGACTCT